ACGTCCGGATTTCTTTATGTCAAGTGCTCTCGGGCTTTAATTCTGGAACCGGCAACATTGCTCTTCGCAATAGCTCGGTCAATTATAGAGTCTAAGTCATCTGTACTCCACCCGATACAAAAACCATATGGATTAGAAGACATAGATTTCTTCGTTTTTATACAAAATTGTAAGCGATTTGCAATCAATTTGTCCAGCACCTTTCCCATCACCTTAAGAGATGTATTGGCCTCATTCTATCATTGCTTTTAGGTATGAGAACTAGTTTTGCAATTTTCCAAACCTCAGGAAAGAGACCATGTAACAAACACTTATTGTGTAAATGCCAGGAAAAGCTAGGATAATACTCAAACAATATGCCCGCATGTATACCGTCCAAACCAGGGGAGCTTCTTGTTTGAAGATGTGTAATAACCGTCCGAATCTCATCCATCAGGAATTCTTTATCATCGGCATTACATTCATCTATTTTTTCTAAGATGAAATCAAAATTATTCCGTATAGGGATACCAGTTCCCAAGATCTCATCTAAAATTTCCATTTTCACGTGCTTTATATTTTCTTCTCGATTACCATCAGGCCTTTTCAACTTTATTCTCCTTTTTACCTTTTGAGTTGCGTGTTTAAGAAATCCATCATAATAACAATTACTTTTCAAAAAGTAAATTAATTTACTTTTATATTTTGATTTCTTAATTAATTTTTTATACATTGCTAATTCTCTCTTATAGCAGATCCTTCTATGAATTCTCATTTCTTCCGTAATGCATCTCACCTGATAAGATTTCCTTAATGACCAAACTCATCTCTTCAACCTAGTTAACTCCGGCGACCACCAAGAGATCCTGTCACCAAGAGATCCTGTCTTTTTTTAATACGAAGCAATTTATTTGTATGCAATACAAGATCTTTCTTTATCTCCAAAATAATTTCATTCAACTGGGACTTAGTACCAGCCCTTATAATTCTCTTCTGATAACTCGTAATTTTACTTTTCATTTTTACACAAAATCTCTTGATACAAGTTGGATTCCTCGTAATAGTACAGGAATTAGTTTCTCTATATACAATTCCATCCGCATCTAAAATCAAATATTAATGGTCACTAAGAGTCAATTCATCTGAAATAATAAAATTATAATCTGGAACACTTATATTTGAAGAGCCGATCACCAAATCAGTATTTCCAACTCCAGTTGTAGATAAAAAAGTGGGGCAGACTCAAAATTATTGAATAATAAAAGATTTCTATATAAAATAAAGTCACTTACCAAAACTTCTCTCGCATCAACCGCTCCAAGTAAAATGTTTTGCATTAAAATCTCCAAAAATTAAAACATTTGTGTATAAATTTAAAATGTCATCCAATTAAAAGAGATATAGATTTATATCTTCTGCTGAGGAAAGATAAACACACGCAATTCCATATGAATCTTTACCAGTATTAATAATAATCCGCAATAAAGTTAATATCCAGATTAATAACAATAATGGCCGTTCTCCTACCATTTTGATGAACAACTCTCCAATTTCTATTACTATATGCAAGGGCGCCTTCAATGCAGTATGGTTCTTGAATCAAAATAACATCTGAGGTCTTGGTCAAAATTTCATCAATCGCAGAAAGCTGTATCAGTATGGCAGCAGCTTGAAAATGATTCAAATTAATTCTTAAAAACCTCATTAAATAAGGTACAATATAAACTGTATCCAAAAAATTCTAAAAGTTTAATTTAATTTAATTTAAAAATCGTGTAATGGTAAAATCTCTCCTAAAACTAATATAAATTAAAATTAATTAAGCCAGGAAAAATTAAAGCAGAAATAAATCCGCAGTAGAATTTGTACAGTGAAACTCAAGTATGCATCCCGCGGCGAGATATTAAATCAGTAAAACTAACATATCAGGACCCATAGTTAAAAACTCATAAGTTCATAAATTCATACGTTCCATAATACAGGGTGTTTATAAAGTCCCGGGCCCATTTTGATGTTTAATAACTCATAAAACAATAAAGATAGATTAAAATTAATAACATAAATGGTTAGATAGACTCAAAAAGTTTCATGACCCTTGTCAGTGGACTTCCACGTGTGCCCTCTTCGTCGCATGAAGAATATCAAGTCGATATTCAATTTCACGCCAGGTACCGGCAATCATGTCGGCATGCACAGAGGCTTTTGCAGTTGTAATTCTGGCTTTTAGGTCATCAATGTTCGACACTCTCCTCCTGTAAACGTTGTCCTTTACAAATCCTTGGACCTCCTCGCTCAATCCATCTTCCTGTAAAATGGTGATTCAAAGAACTACGAACGATGGTACCCCAATGAAGTATCTTGTTGCAAAAAGACAGACAAAAGACCCAATCTTGTTGCAAAAAGACATATGGCTGAAGCTCTTCTAGTTGTGGAGATACGAAGTTTTCCAACATGTCTAAATATACAACTGATGAGACCGCCTTTTCTGTAAAAAAGAAAGGCCCAATGACTCGGTCGTGCATTAGTCCATACTCCACATTAACCTTTGGGGAATCCCTTTGTGCCTCACGGTATTCATGGGGGTTTTCAGATCCCCATATGCGCACATTATGGCGATTAACAATGCCAGAAAGATACCAAAAAACAAAAGAGAGAAAAATGCAATTAATAAGCAGACGATATTTAGAAAAGTACAGATATTTAGACTGGAAAATTAAATTATCTGAAATTAACCACACGCACAAATGATATTTACCAAAGGAAAATATATAAGTTATTCCATCAATAAATGCCATAAGTTTGTTCATATGTTCATTATTTTATGAGTTATTTAAACATCAAAATGGGTCTGGGACTTTATAAACACCTTGTATATTTTATTTCTCTCGTAAAAACTGGACATTCCTTAAAAATAGCCTTCGTGCCCATCATCTATATTCATTTTATTGAGTTAAAATTTTTGCAATTAATACATTTCTTAAATTTACTTCTACAGTCTTTGACTAAATGAGAAGCTGAGCAGATGTGGCAAACAGGTTTATTTTTCAGAAGCGTTTGATATGGCCAAAACGAAGGCAATTTCTACATCTCTTCGCTTGAACAAACAATCTGGCAGGCTAATACTTCCATCCTACTATAACTCTCTCATTTTGCAAAATCTGGGCTTGGCAGATTTTATCCACATGAAAGACTCGATGAGAAGTAAGCTCTTTTCCATTTTTATCTGTATAAAAAAGAAATCTAACACATCCTCCATCATAGGAACAATCTTGTTTCAAACTTTCTAAAAATTTTTCATTTTCAACCTCCTGCGAAACATTATAAATAATAATCGGTTTTATGAACTTACTTCTCCGAATTTCTACTAGTCTGTTAAGCGATGATTTGTGCTCAATAGCTCTTTCTAAGTTTTTCGATTCGTCCACATCTTTTAATCTAACAACAAATTCTCCGTTCTTTTTTTTAAAAGAATTCACCATTTTAATGCCAAGATCCTTTGGCCGAATAGATCTTGAGATTTCATCGAACACATCAATATCAAGAAATTTTGCCTCAATAATCAACTCTGCGTCTCTATTTATATCATCATTATCTTTTTTAAAAGTTTCACTTTTCGAGCTAAGTTCGTTTTTCCTTGTTCTCTTAGCATCCAGAGAATCCGCAACATATCTCACTTCCTCTTTAATCTCTGCACTACCACTTGATAAATCATAGTAATATCCATCTGTATAAGTCTAAGATTTTAATCTAACAACATTGTTCCATGGCCAATTCAATGATCCTGTCCAGACCCTCAACAATTTTTTCTAGTATTTTCTCAACAATTTATCGGGCCTCCGGGCGATTGACTTTTTGATTTTTCACCACAGCGAACTGCCTATGGCTACTTTGATCTCTTGATGGTGATAGATGGCAATGACAATAAAGGTCAAGGAGGTTAGAATACACGGAGATGTTCTCCGCTCAGTCCAAGTAAAACCAAAAAGGGGGAAAAGCATGCCCTTAGTTGTCGCGGCTTAAAAAGCATGACACGCTCTTCAGCCTAACCACGCCCAGTTTCGTTCCTGTCAGACGTAAATTAAAGATCGTCGATTCTTCGCGCAGTTTTTGCTTTACTTTTCGCCCCATTTCATTTTATTTTTAAATTATATAATTACAATAATTTCTACATGATGTAATTGCATGCTATCATTAACAAATGCCAGCATTAAAAGGACAATTCGAGAAAAATACAGTAACTAATTATCTAAATCATAAATTGATTATACTTTAGTTGTTCTAAATATTCTCTAATTTTTATGTTATAAATTATTCTAATTCTCTATTTTCCATCTTATAAATACTATTTTTGATTTAAAAAACATTGACCTTGATTGGACAGTGATAAAAAAAGTATTTAAATTCGGCATTATTTCTAAAACTCTCACCACAAATTTGACTAAAAATCAAATCCTCTTAATAAATATTTTGAACATCAAATAAAATAAAGTTAAATACATAAAACATATGACTTGTAACATAATATGATGAGACCTTGAATGTAAACGGATTTCTTTTGCATGAAGAGCTAGCCACTCCTTCTCTCTAGTTTACTATCGCTTTGCTTTCACAGCTCAATTAATTATGAGTATAACATTTATTATGAAAAGTTTTGATAACTATGTATGCTTTTTCGTGCTCGTTACACCTAGAAAATACTCAAAATCTTTCTTGACGGCTTTTCAAACACACATTTCAATTATTCTACCTGTTTATGCATGTTTAAAAAACATTCTTTTACACGGGAATGAAATCTGAAAATGTAGACATTATTTCCTTGTAACAATTCAGTACCTTTTTGCCCTCTCTTATCTTCGGATGGACCTTGGGTTAGAGTTTTCTTTCCCTCACTGTTTCCTCCGGCTTCACTCTCGTCGGAGCGCCATCTCCATGTATGCTAACTTCCTTGTTATTGGTAGAGATTCCGAAATCTGGCAACTCTTCTAGACTCTTTCCCTCTCTTCCCCTCATCTTCTCTCTTGAAGATTTTCTGTGAACGACTACTTCAGGTAGACTCTTGTGATCAATTAATTAGCCTTGACGTCTTGTATGCGAGCACATTTAACCCTCTTTTGTGAAATGTAACACGAAAGTTTTAGTGCCCCATACTGCCTTATTATGCACAATATTAAATAAGAACCATCCAGTTTTGTGAGCAGAATATTATGACAGAAACTGAAGAAAAAGATCTTTCATTTCAGATTAAGGATGAAGAGAAACATGAGACTAAACTTAAAATTCGATCTCGCACTAGGAAAAAAGAGTATGCATGTGAAATTTGTCAGAAAAAAGTTTCTTCTGAATATCATCTGAGAAGACATTATGAAATGCATTCTAATGAAAAACTTTGCATATGTGAAATTTGTCATAGACATTTTAACTGCCCGTCTTCTCTTAGAACGCATTCTTTAATACACACGGGAGGAAAACCCTTTGAGTGCGGGATTTGTCAAACAAAATTTAGGCGTATGTCTCATCTTAAAACGCATGTTTTGATCCACACTGAAGAAAAACCTTATTCATGTGATATTTGTGGGAAAGAATTTAGACGTCAATTTGATCTGAATGTTCATGCTCTTGTTCATACTGGAGAAATGCCTTATGAATGTGAAATTTGTGACAAAAAGTTTAATCGGCCGAATAATCTCAGAAATCATTATTTAATGCATATTAAAACCAAATCTTATGAATATGAAAATTTTCAAAAGATGCTTGAAGAACAAGCAGTTATGACAAAAGATGCTTCATTAAAATTTACTGTTCGTGAAAGAAAATTTAGTTTTTTATCTGTTCTCCAAGCACATTCTGCCCAGCCGAAGAAAAGAAAGTCATATGTGTGTACTATTTGTCAGGGAAAATTTAATTCTTCTTCTCATCTTAAAGCTCATTGTCGAATCCACACTGGTGAGAAGCAATATGTGTGTGAAATTTGTCAAAAGAAGTGCAGTCGTAGATCTGATCTTAAGACACATACTCTAATCCACTCTAGAGAAAAACCTTATGCATGTACTATTTGTAAAAGTAAATTTAAACGCAAGTCTGATCTGTCAGTACATTATGTTACTCACAGTGATGAAAAACCTTTTAAATGTGAAATGTGTGAAAGAAAGTTTAAACGTCACTCTGATGTTAAAAGACACTATTTAGTCCATACTCAAGAAAGAGAAACCTTATTCATGTGAAATATGTCTGAGTACTTATAAGTCCCAATGTAATCCTAAAATACATTTTCTTATTCAGACTGTTGAAAATATGCAATCTCAGACTAACAAATAAAATTGAGATGATATAAATGCATATAAAATGAATAATAAACAAATGAATATAGAAAATTTGAATTAACCAGATACAAGTGATAAATTTCCAAATAGTTTGTATGTTTCAATCTACTTATGCATAAAAAATGAATAATAAACAAATGAATATAGAAAATTTGGGTTAACCAGATACAAGTGATATATTTCCAAATAGTTTGTATGTTTCAGTCTACTTATATTGGAGACATTACATATTTGGTAACCTTAATGAAACAGAAACAGGATTATATAAATAACTTAATAATAAATGTAAAAAGCATCTGTTAAAACTCAATTTAAATTTTTAAACTTGAGAATTTGGGACTTCTTTTGAATAAAACACTACATTTTCGTGTCAAAAATGTGTCACAATTTATAATATTCTTTATTCATATCATTACAAAATAATTTTATGTTTTGCTAACGTGCCAGTATCAAAATTCATATTTTATTTAATTGCAGAACTGTAATTATACATTTTAACTAAAATTTTGAGAAAATTAAAATGAAAAAAAAAAATCTGATTTGGGAACTGTAGTTAGTATATTCTTAACAATCACAGAGTAGGATGTAACATTTAAAAATTCATGAAAATGAATAAAAAAATAGCAATTTGACATTTCTGTTCATAATCCAGTTTAATACTTGAAACAGTTCTGAGCTAAATAGTTACATTTACTAATTTATGAGTTAAACTTCTAAAATTCAGAATATAAAAGGTGAAGTAAAATTCTAATAATCTAGAAAGGCCTATAATAAACACTTATATTTCAGTATAAATTTCAATTTTCAGAAAAATCAGCATTGTAAATTCAATGGCACTTTTATCTGAAATGTATATGCAAATAATGTTTCTACTAAAAATATGTTATTGTCATCAAACATTTATATTTATTGTATTATTTAATTTTATGTTTCCAGCACCATTATTTTATAGTGAATATAGATGTGGTTTTAGATGAATCCCTCTTTCTGGAATATATATTCAACTGCCTTTTAATATTAATTTTGAGTGTATGTATTAGATATCTTATTATCTTAAATAATTTGCAGAATTAAATAAAAAAATGCAAAGTTAAACTCTAGAACCTTGCCCCAATTTTCTATAAATTAGGTCAAAGTTCTACAGAATTCTATAAAATTTTAGATTCTATAATAATTTGTACACCTTGCAGAGAAAATGGGACAGTTCTATATCTGCCGTTCTTCTGGAATGTTAAAATATAATACAGTACAAAGTCTTTAATCCGGACGTCCATAATCCGGAATAATCTATAATCTGGACCTCAAGGCTACAAACGTTATGCGCGTGCGGTTTAATGTATAACGGATGGTATAAGCTAGGCTAAAATTTTTTAAGGCATTTCAGTTAATGTTGCAGATTGTGCTGTTCCTTAATCTAATTGGATCCGGCTTATTATTTTTTGCAGACAGTTAGAACAATTTTATAAAAATTAAGCTTGAACTTTCAATTATGTCAAAAAGATTTTCCAATTCTAGAGCTGCCAAAGGATCTACAAAGCGAAAGCATGTTTCCATCCATTAAACAAAAAGTGGAATTGCTGCAAAAAATGGATAAAGGCCTATCCGTCTCAAAATTATGCGAGAAGTATAGCATTGGAAAGTCCACTATATATGACACAAGAAAAGGAACTTTTTTGAATTTTTTTGTGGAAGCATCTTAAACAACTTACAATTGAAAGAAAGTTTAATAAAGTAAACAAATAAATATTAAGCTTTTTTTTTGGTAAATTTTGATACCCTTTAGATCATAATTGCTCTTTATTTCATAAACTACGGTTTCATATTTTTAATTGTATAATTTCTGCATACCATCTTACCAGATTTAAATTGATGATCTATAATCCGGAAAATCCCCTAATCCGGAATTGCCGAAGTCCCGATAAGTCTGGATTACGGACTTTGTGCTGTATATATCCTAAGTCGTGCTTTCAAGACAAGGGAAATACAAGTTAAATTTTGACAATTGGTGCAGTAGAATGGGAGATATAGAACTGTCCTCTTTTGTGTGTGTGCAAAGTGTACATGGAAGCTTAGCATAACGTAATGCTACAAAAATCTGGGAGTTTCTGCTAAAGGCATCAACACAATGAAGATATCGGGCCATACATCCTTCGACATGGAAACTTCTTGATCACCCCTCATTCTTAATACAGTCAAAAATCGATAATCCGGACTCGTCGGGACTTCGGCGATTTCAGATTATAGATCATCAGTTTAAATCTGGTAAGATGGCATGCAGAAATTATAAAATTAAAAATATGAAACCGTAATTTATGAAATAAAGAACAATTATGATCTAAAGGGTATCAAAATTTACAAAAAAAAAAAAAAAAAAGCTTAATATTTCTTTGTTTATTTTATTAAACATTTCTTTCAATGTAAGTTGTTTAAGTTGTTTCGTTTTATGTGATCATACTTTCTCTTTAATTCTATTAACAGACATAATTTCTTGTTCAGTTACAAACTTCTGCTGTTCAAGTCCTATAATTGCTGTGTTGAGAATACCGAGTAATGTGTCAATCGAAATTTTTTCTTTTTCAATAACCTCTGTGCCACTTTCTTCACTATCGGAAGCGAATTATAATAACGAGGAATTTGATTTAAATCATATCAAAGACGGAGTACATCAAGATGAAAATACATTTAGTAATTAGTAAGGAATTATAAGCGAAATAAAATAAAAAACATCTGCCCTGAAGATAATGATAGTGCTGACAGATCAGCTTCCAATTCATTGCGTGCTGCTGCGGGCAATCCCCCCCCCCCCCCCCTCCCCCGCCGCAGAGCAGCATGAAATTGATAAACAGATTTGGAATGGTTAGAGAAACCAAAGGATATGCCTTTATCCATTTTTTTGCAGCAATTCCATTTTTTTTTGTTTAATGGACTTTGAAACATACTTTCGCTTTGTAGATCCTTTACATATTCGCAAATATATATCGGAAATTCTATTTGACATAATCGAAAGTTCAAGCTTACTTTTATAAAATTGCTCTAACAGTCTGCAAAGAATAATTAGCCGGATCCAATTCGAAGATTAAGGAACAACGCAATCTGCAACATTAACTGAATTAGATAATTTTAGCTTAGCTTATACCGTCCGTTATACATTAAACGCGCATGCGTAAATATGTGCATGCGCACATGCATATTCGCAGCCATAAAGGTCTTACGCGCATGCGTCAACGCAACGCATGCGCATAAAGTTTGTAGCTTTGAGGTCCGAATTAGCGACTTTGACTGTAATAAAGACTTTTTAACTCTGCTTGTACAAGTATTGATGGACAATTTACTTAATAACAGTGCAAAGCAGTATGGCATTGGAAAGTCAACTGTATATGACATAAAAAAAGAGAAAAAGGAATTTTTTGTGATTCCAGCATCCCAATCTCGATGAATAACAGTAAAAGCTATTCATTATGCTAAAAGTCACAGTCATGACAAAGTATGATTTAATGGGTCAGACAGATTCACAGTGAGGGCAAGCTAAAAATTTTCCATTCTATTGGAACTTAAAAACTGAGTGCACATATTCGACAGTTGGTTAACCAAATTAAAAAATCGCCATAGTATGAGGCAATTAAAAATTTCAGGTGAAAAAGCTTCAGAATAAGCTCAGCAACATTTGAAATAGGTTTGTTTATATGATGATGCAAAAATTGTCCTGATCGTAGGCAACAAGCAATACAGTTTTAGCGGGAGATAATGTATCCATATTATTCTTTCCTCTAAACTGTACGTCCATCGTTCAGCCTATGGATATTGTAATAGTATACGCGTTGAAATTCAAATATAAAGTAGCATTTTTAAAATGCATGTTAAATTTCTTGAATAATGGCAAGACTGTTCAAGAATTATTTTAATATTTTACCATAAAAGCTGCTTAGGGAAGCCTCTCAAGATTGTGGAAGGATGTGTATCCAGATACTTAAAAAATGCTTGGTATAATGTATGGTCACCTATCATTATTTCGTAATGAGGATGATGAAGATGATAGCCATGAATTTGAAGGTTTTTGGATATCGCAAACCAAAGGTGAAATTTTCCAATTAATGGATTTTCTGAAGAAATGTGGAGAAGCAGTAATAAATAAAGACTATATAACAAAAGTTTTTCACAGCGATGATAATACCTTAATTAACGGGTGGCAAAATCTGTAGAATGGTTCTAGATCCAGAAAAACCTGCTGCCAATAGTGAAGAAAGTGAGAGAGAGATGTTACTGAAAATGAAAAAATTTTGATTGATAAGTTAGTTGGAATTTTTGACACAGCAATTACAGGACTTGAACAATGGAACTTTGTAACTGAACAAGAAGTTATGTCTGTCTGCAGAATTAAAGAGAAAGTATTAGCAGAAAAAAAGAAGGAAACTTAAACAACTTACATTGAAAGAAATATTTAATAAAGTAAACAAATAAATATTATTATTATTATTTTGTGTGTGTAAATTTTGATACCATTTAGATCAGAAATGCTGCATTATTTCACAAATAATGATTTCATATTTTCAATTTCTGTATGCCATCTTATTAGATTTAAACTGATGATCTAGTACCCAGAATCCAAAGCCCCTGCGAGTCCAGATCTCGGACTTTGTACTGAATATTTTCTGCTTTCTTATGCTTGCATTTGAAAATAAATTAATGTGCTTTGCTTCCTTTAGTATAATTTATATTATAAATTGTAATCATCTTTCCTCAGATTCTTCGTTTAAAAAATATTTATGAGATTACTTATTTTAGTATATCCCAAGATATCTGTGAAGTTCGTTCCAAGAATTGGTCTGACTGACTGGGAAAGTGAAAATTTCTGAAATCCCTCACAAAACTTTTTTTTTTTTTTTTCATGTTACCAATTATTTAAATGCATATCTGTCTGACGGAAAGCTGAGTATAAATGATGAGACATATTTATTATGTAGTTTTATTATTTGCATTTTGTGTTAATATTGCTGTATATTTATATTTTTTATTAAAGCAATTTACAAAATTGTCTGAAACTGATTTTTTTTTTTTTTTTTTTTTTTAGGAATATTTTAAGTTTAAATTCAGGCTTTTATCAAAATGATTTCATACATTGATATATATTTAAAAGAGTTAAATTGTTTAATACTGCCAATACTTTCATTTGATTTCTATTGTTTTTAAACAGTTATATAATAATAATTATAGCTAAAAATAAATTGATACAACTCTCTCTCATTAGATGTAAAAAGTAGATAGTTTCTTCATACAGATTTCTACAAGCAGGATCTTTTAATTTATCTGTAATACAGTTAGATGAAAGTGCTTCATCTTTGATCTTAATGACTTGTGTATTATCAATATAAATTAGTAT